TTTATATAAAAAAAAACCCTTTTTTAAAAAGTTTTTTTTTCCAAACCAAAAAAAAAAAAAAAAAAAAAAAAAAAAAAATATATATATATATATATATATATATATATATATATATATATATATATATATATATATATATGTCCAGAAATTGGCTGGGTGGTTTTTTAAAGCTCTTGGACTGTTTTTTTTAGAAATGGAAGTGCAAAAACATGCAAAATGTGAGTTTTGCATAAAAGGTTCCTTTAAAAAAACACTGCTCAACAATCACTGATGTTTGTTAGAGAAATGAAGCAAAGTTTTGTAAATAACATGCATAATGATTTGAGTTTAATGACTAAAAAAGTGTGATAGAGGATGTGTAATAGTGGGTATGATTTAAGAGAGGTGTAGCAGAAAATGGGAAAAGATGTACAGAAAGCAGAGATAAGAAATGTTCCAAATATGCTGATTGGTTGCTTAACTTCACAATCTTCAACATCCAACCTGTTGCTATCACACAGTAGCACATTTAAATAAATTATCGTATGGTTAATATTAAATACTATAGATGGTTTAAAGTATATAAGTTGGATCCTTGATCTTTGTGTGCTTTGTTGTAGCGGAAAACCTTTTGCTGCACTTGGTAGTTGATATAGAACATGAAATACAGTGTATAAGTACAACATGTCTGTTTAGCTGTGATTCTTTTTCACAGAAACATGAGGTTGAATAAAAATAGACATGACTCACCTCAGCTGTCACTCTGTCTCTCCCTGTGTCACCCGCGTCGTCAACACCCACCCCTGCACTGACCTGCAGTACACCACACCCATTCATTTCTCAATTTTTAGCCTCTTTAAGGCATTTTATGACTCTTTTGTGGATTAATTTAAACTGACTCTTTGCTCACAAGTATAGTCTAGGCATTAAGAAACTATTTTAATTGTGTCCCAACTTTTACCACATGGAGGCGCTGTAGGATTTGTCATCAAGGTATGTTGCACTATTATAGTTTAATATTTCCTACAATATTTTGCTTCAGATTTTACAGTCTCAGATTATCACCAACTCTACAGTTTATTTTCCTATCTTAGTTTATTTCCTTACATTGTAGCTCTACATGCATCTATCTAGACTTCCAAGTACTGTGTTAAAAAAGTATTTGCACCCCTACAACTCCACATTTGCATTTCGCAAATGTAAAATGACAACTTCAAAGCATACTCATAAAATAAAAGGGGGATATAAGAAGACTAAGATATGTTTTTTTTTTTTTTTACACATGAAAATCACAGGACCTTAGGGTTACTTTTTTCATTTTCCATCCCTACTATCTTCATCCTTCTCTACCATAAACTGGTAGTGATGGATGTGCTTGGTAAAGAAAAGCCTCCCACTAGCATGATGCTGCCACCAACATGTTCCAAATTAAGTTGTCATGGTAAACAAATGTAAATCAGATAAGTTTAAAGAACTTTATTCAATCACTTGTGACTAATTGATGGTTTCAGTGGTTTGCAACAAGAAGCTGTAGATCCTCTATAGGTTTGTTGTGGAGAGGTTTATCTCCTCTGCCATCTTTGGTGGAGGTACTAGCATCAGAACCAGGGACTTGGAAAAGCCCGACAACTTGACGAAGAAGTCGTTCTGTTTTGGGAGATGATGGAACATTATGGTCGCCCACCTAAGTTAAGGTTTACACTCGCACGAGAAAATAGCTGCAAACAGATTCCCAATTGTACAACTACGCGTCTTTGAAAAGCAGAAGTGGAGCCTTCTGCACAACCAACAAGATTGCAGAAAGTGGTTTCTGAATGGTAAGACAACAACAAAACACTTGTCTTTTCCAGCATCCATTGTTCAGCGCAGACAGCAGTAAAATCAGCTGGCCAAATGTACTGGAGCCCGCTCGGGTTGCTAGGTAACAGGAGTGGGTTTGGCTCGGGTTGCTAGGTAACAGGGCAGTGCCCGATTGTGACTTGAAAAACACAATCAGGCACTTATCGCTTGAAAAACATTAACTTATTGCCAAATAACAGCTGTTTGTTTTTTTAAAATCCTTGGGCTGTTTTAAGAAGCAGTTGAGACCCAAACAGAAGAACAAAAACATTGAAAATGTGGATTTTAAATAATAAGTCCCCACCAATACTAAATATTCTTGTAAGACTAGGACAGAAATTCAGCAAAGTAGACTGTTCTTTAGTTTGTTTTGCCCTTTATGTTTAATTTTTCCCATTGACCTACATCTTAAAGCAGCTTAATGTCATCCATCTAATGGCCTTGGAGCTGGGAAATCCAAGCACGTAAAGGGATCTAAGCTTTGACCCTTGAGTGCGATCAGTTGACAGTAAGGGGCTATCGCTCGGCGCTAACTTTAGTCCTGTCCAGATCTGATGGTAAGCTTAACTGCTCTGCAACTCAAAGGGAAAACACAGATGAATATAAAATTCGTCATTATGACATTTATTGCTGTTTCTATTTAGAAGTTATTCCAGAAGCCTGGAGAGTATAAATTATTAAAATTACCCTTCAGCTCTTTATTCTAACCCTTCTGCTAAAAGCTTATTAAACTAATCTAATTATTTTAGCTTAAAATAAATAAAAAATCATTTATCTTGTTGGGTCAAGCGTTGGTCCTCACAAACCTAATGGACCCCTCGCATGCAGTTAAACACACACACACACACGCCACACACACACACACACACACACACACACACACACACACACCCACACACCCACACACACACACACACACACACACACACACACACACACACTCAAACGACCCATTTCACCTATTTTTGGAGCTGTTAATCTCAAACTGTTTGGAACGGTGCTAAACTCTTAATTCTGATGGGTTTTTAAAATGTGATTGGGAGCACAGAGGAAGTGCCACCTCATATGGCCTCGCACATCCTGTCACTATTTCTAGGTCAACAGGATTGTGTGTTTTGGGTCACAGGTCAAAGGAGGGAAAATTTCCATAAATTGTTGTCATTTTCCCTAATTCATGCAGACTGTGATAATAACACGATAAAATATGAGAAATTATACAAAGTTTTTTTTCATTCAACTCATTGTGGTTATGTTTATACTCCAGAGAAACAAGAATTCAACTGAAATGGAGACATAAAGGCAAAAATCAGGAAGAATCATAATAAAACTGATTTTTGATATGAAATAAACTGAGTGAATTTAGAAAAAATGAGAAAGGAGTAAAACAGACCCAAAAGGATGGAGCGCACCATCCAAAAGAGAGTGAAAAAAATGGGATGTATACAGTAAACACCAGAAAGAGTGATTACTGGAGCAAAGAGGCAGTTAGTCTAATTAATTTAATGTGTAGCAGCGATGCGGGGAGCATGACAGGAGGAGCTGAGGGAAAATTACTAAATGAAACAGACAGGAACACTTGGACTAAAGAAACCAACAAAACATTGGATGTTTCATGAATTTTCAAAACTTCAAGAAGAAATATTGTTTATATGAAGACTTTTTACACATCCAAATCACTGAAATGCTGACTTTAAGCCACTCGTTAGCTAATTTTGTAATATGCTTGCCATATCTTTGAGTTCCTGACTGGTGTTTTGAGAAGCTGGTTCAATATTTTAGATAATATTTTTCCCCATGATTGATTCTACGAAGTGCACCAGTCCCTCCTGCAGCACAGTAGCATGATGCTGCCACTTCCTTACCTCCCAATTTGGATGGTGATCCTTGGAGGCTTCCACCTTTTTTCTTCCAATTCAATAATTATCGTTATGGAAAAACAGTTCAGTTTTAGTTTAATCAGATTCCATTTCAACCTGCCCCCAAAAACTAAGACCTCTTTTCCTGTGTAAATTTGCAAACTGTAATCTGGCAACGTAATGTTGTTGGCTAAATTAATTTTTCCTAGTCTAAATGACTATTTAGTTCATGTCTGAGTTTAAAGTCAACATGTCACTTGTTGATACAAGCAAAAATTTTGAATAAAAAGGATTAAAAAGAAAAAAAATGGACGTTTTACAGTCTACCCTTCTCTCAAAAGTCATTTATCTAAAAAATAAGCAACTAAGCGTCAATCATTTATCCATATTGATACATCTATAAACACTAAACAGAGAATATCTATATAAAAAATATGTAAGTAACAAAGAAGATATATTTGTAATGATACAGAACTCTGAGTGTTAGCATATTGTGTTTTATTATTTTCTCAAAAGTAAAAATTGATCCTGAGTCTTTAATTTGATTGTTGCACAGATTTATATCTTAAACTGAAACATTAGATTTGTTTAGTTCAAACTTTTTAAAAATTTCGACGAAACTAAAAACAATAGAATTTCTATAATTTCTCCTCAAATTATAAATGATATTTCTTTTAATATTTTTTTCTTGCAAATACACTGTGTTTTAAACTTAACCAGCTCTATTCTAATGTCTTTTCTAAAGCTGTGTTTACAATAGTCAGGTTTCAACTCTAAACGCAGCTAAGAAATAATAATTTGAAGTTCATTTAGACAAAATTTGAAATGAAAACACCACATCCACCTGTCAATATACCTCTTACCCCCGCCTGCCCTGAACACGACCTGGCGGTCCATAGCACAGGAAGAACCCGGCTGATTGGGTTTCAGTCTCTGCAGAGCAAAGGAGACGGCAGGCAGTACAATACGAGATCTGGGAATCTAGATTCCTGTTGGTCTGGGACCTGGATCTTCCTCCTGCGGAGACCCGACGTCTCACAGGTAAGACACAAGAAACATGAAGGTGTGTGACAGCAATGGTGACCGCCCAAAAGATACAAATGGTGCTATTTGCAAAGCAAAGCAAAAAAGATCTTAGAAAGAATTTTTGGTCTAGCTGCAAGCGCAAATATCTTAGTTCACTTGAAATAAGACAAAACTAACTTACAAGTAACTTATCAGCAAAACATAGAATCTTGTTTTAAGTAAATAAATCCTTAATATTGATGACAAAGCACTAGTTCCTCTTATGAGAAGAAAACTTTCCCACATTATAAGTAAAATAATCTGGCATTGGAACTTTTTCATTTCTGTAATTACTTACTTAAAACTAGCTTCTGATAAGTTACTTGTAAGTTACTTATGTCTTACTTCAAGTGCACAAAGATATCAGCACTAGAAACAAAAATACTTGGTAAAATTCTGTGTTTTTGCAGTGTGAATCCAAGTTATCAGATAATTTTGCATGTTTTGGATGCATCCAAGTGATGTAGGAAGCAAATTTTAGCATCTCAGTTTTAGAAGATAAACTAAAAATAAGTAATAGCTGCATAATCATGACTGGTTTAACATATTTTCAAGCAGAGCCGTTATTTTAACCAAATGAGATGTTGACTAGGGACTTTTTTCACCTCGTCTTACACTGTGAGGAATGCGGCCCTCTGCGGTAGAGATTTTAGTCTGCGCAGATGGATGTATCTGGGAATGTGCTGACTGATGCCCTTCCTCCCCAGCTGTCTCTTGCAGATTTATCTGGAGCTAAAACCGGCCGGTTAAGGGGGACAGGAGTGCCTCTTCTCTTTGGAGGTGCTGGTAACTGGACCCACACGGGCCCTCGCGTTCAGCTCCTGTAGCCAGCGCCGCCGCCGGCTCCTTGTCGGCCTCCGTTTCCCTGCAACATCCTGAAAAAAACACCTGTAATCTCCAGCTTTTAATCCTGCCCCCACCGGCTCGCATTAATCACAGGGGAGAAGCTGTCTGAGTGCAAATGCAGGAGATTTTGTGTGCTGTACAACATGGACTCATAAAAATAGCTCACACAGGACAGAGAACGCAGCTAGGAAATGAGCTTCAATTACAGAGGATGAAAAGCAATTACATTAACTGCCTCCCTGCAGACAGACCCTTCTGCTTCTTCTCGCGCGCTGGGACTCACCTCCAGCTTTACATAATTGCTTTCGACCTGTTCAACTGACAGTGACATACCGCTGGAACCGCGTTCGAGTGGTTAGTCAAGAGAGATGCAAAGCCGCCACCACGATTTAATGTCCTCAAGGGCACGAGTGGGGCTGGACGCCATGTTTGAAGTGAGCTTCGCTTTATTAAGGGACCCTCTGAAAATCTGCTGGGAACCGCAACCAACTGAGAATAACATCTAACAAACGTCAGCAAACTTTTTCTGGATTAGATTTCTCTCCCATCCGTTCAAACTCTTGTTTCTAAACTATGCCTTACATCCAGTGGCATCCCTAAAAAATTTGTCGTAGGGCTGGCCTGACGAGGGCAGTAAAGTTTTAGGAGGATGAAGCTTAGACAACATTTTATTGTTTTATTTATTTATTGGGTTTTACATTTATGATTTCATTGAAGAAGATGACTTTGTTTGCCTTTCTATGACATGAACATGATTATCTAGGGGGAGGAATGAGGCGGCCAGCATTTTTCAAGACTTATTGCCAACCTCTTGGGGGCACCACTGTTTACATCTCAAACATTTGACCTACTATTTTCAGTATCAGAGAGCTAATGTTATTGATTTGATAAGAAATCCTCTTATTGAGAAAAGCGGAACAAGGGTAAAGCAAATTGTTCTGTTGAAGAAATAAATTATTAAATGAAAATGAAGCTCAACACTCAAAGGAAAAGCAGAGAGTTCATCACATTTTTTTGCATAAAATTATTCGTAGATCGCGAGATTTTAGTGTGGTCAGTTCTGCCTATTTTTAGGATGTCTTGTCACTTTAAATCCAAATAATCTCCTGCTGGTCACGCCTCCCAACTCAATGTTTACACTCACACATGAAAATGGCTGCAAACAAATCTGCAATCATGTAACCCTACATCCTTGAAAAGCAAAAGTAAGGCCTCCTGCACAACCAACAATAACGCAGCAAGTAGTTTCTAAATGGTAAGTCAATAATAAAACACTTGCCTTTTCCAGCAGCCATTATACAGCAAATACGGCAGTAAAATCAAATGTGCAGGAGCTTCGTTTGGTTTGCTCGGTGGTCAGCTGGGCTCGACTGGGGTTGCTAGGTAACGGCTCAATGTGACATTATTAACAATCTGTAGGTTTTTGAAATGGTTAATTTTCCAGACGCCAAAAAAACTTTAACTTGTTGCCCAAAAATAACTGGGTGGTTTTCTTAAGTGCTTGATCTGTTTTAAGAAGCAGAAATGGAAGATAATTGATTTTAGATAGATAGATAGATTTCAATCTATCTATCTATCTATCTATCTATCTATCTATCTATCTATCT